TTTACGTTGACGTTGCTGACCGTTTTGACGTTGACGTCGTCGACGGTGTTTACGTTGACGTGTCTCATCATTTTGCTGTTGCTGCCCATCGTAGTTGTAATGTTCTTGACGACCCGAGTTACGCTGTTGATCGTTATCATAACTACGATGTGACAGACCATTAATATTTCTCGATACTGTTTTCCGTATAAGACTGCACTGGCTACCTGTATCAAGTAGTGCTGTACATTGTCTACCATTTATGTATACTTCTCTGATCGATTCTTTGGTGCGTTCAATTCGACGCACACTTGACTCCCCACAGTGCGTACTCTGACCTTTTGGGTGAACTCTTCCGCAATTGTTACACCGTTGTCTACGTTGTGGCTTTGAACATTCGCGCGAAAAATGTCCCGCCTCACCGCAATTGAAGCAAGCTCTAACCTTCGGTTCCGTTCTAAACTGTTTCTGTCCGGAGTTTTCATTTGCGTCTACACTTACGCTCGAATTTATTATCGGATTTGACGATGAATTTGCCAAAGCTATTTTGTTCGTTCCATGTTGCATATTGCGTAAAAAGTCCTCAATACCTTCGCGAAAATCTTTTAAATTATTAAACCGTAGCGGTGCGATCGCCGCTTGCAATTTAGTGTCGTTTAGTCCATTGCGAGTATATTTTATAATGGCACTATCACTTATCTTGTATCGTCGGCCAAGTGCCGCAATTCAAAAACAATAGTCAATGATGCCTTCATTAACATTACGTACCGCTTGACTCAATTCAAAATTAATGTCAGCTTCGTCACATTTTACATCAAATTCTGCACGCAACTTATTCGAAAAACTGCTCCACTCGCTATCAAATTCTTGTAGAGAATCCAGCCACAACCGCGCTACTCCTTTTAACTTTCCATAAACGGCTAGCAATAGTTGTTTTTCATTCCATTGGAATGCATTAAGAGATCTTTCGACGCGATTGATAAATTGTCCAACCGTAAGACCATTTTTATCTGTTGGATCGAACACGGGTATCGTTTCGCTGATATCTTTTACCGACCCATGTTGTGGTAAATCGTTAACCACTGTAGATGTAATTTCCGTCTTCTGATTTTCATTTTTTTCGCTCACGTTTTCCGTAGGTTTACTTCGTATCACGTTTTCTATGCCCATTACAAGTTGTTGAATCATTCGTTCCATATTATCTATTCGTGAATTGATCACATCTACCGGCTCGCGGATTTCGTCTGCTTTCAGGTGCTCTGTCAGACGCAATACTAACTGCGCTTTGTTGCCCGTCGTATCTAAACCTTCTTCCTCCAACGCCTCCTTCAGCTCGCTTAAACGCATATCCTTCAACTTCACCATTCTCATTTTATTACCGCCGTTAATTTATAAACAACACATTTCGTTCCCGTTTCGTTTTGTTTTTCTTTATACCTTAACTTCGCTTTCGCGCATGTTAATGTGTTGAAGCGCTAGCGCTCCCACGGACACACTCACACGTTTCGGCTAGGCGCTGTTTATCCCACTTCTGATTTTTGTTAAGTTATTGTAAAATAAAACAGTTTGCAAAGCTTTTAAGATTTTAACCTAGTTTATTTATTATATTGATAGTAGCAGTTTTTAATATATATATTATTTCATTCGCTCCAAAGCAACCAAAAAACCTCCACTCTACGCGTCGTATTTCGCCATACTCCTCTTTAAACGTCAAACGCTCGATTTGCTATTTTTGCACACTCATGGTTGCATTTTCGTATTTTAATTTTTCGTGTTTTTACACTTGTAACCATTTAAGTTAATTATTTTTATAGTAAAATATAAAACATAAATAGATATTTAACAATATGGTGTTTATTAACATACTTCATGATATCATGGCTAGTACAGGTCATAGTACTGTCTTTACTGTCATACATATTAATACCATTTGCACTAACAACAACTATGGTTGGGCTACTGCCGGTGTTTACTCACCTCATAATAGGGAAACCTCATATATTTGTATGAGACCAGTATAAAATTTCATCAAAAATCAAATTTATAATAATTTGGAAAAAGCTTTGCATTGCATGCACACAAAGTCAATCATTTATTTTAGAAAAAATGTGTACAAAAAGCAAAGACTATTTCTTTGAATTTGTGTGTCCATTCAATACTACTATTGAACGCCCTTTCTTCTTTATTTCCTCTTAACCCAAAAGAAACCAAATTTTGTAAATATAGAAACAAAAAATTGCACTTCACTGATTGCCCTTTCGTCTCGTTCGCAAAACAGAAAATTGTCAACATATAAATCACACAAGCACCCAAACTAGCAATATGAATAGAAAATATAGCAACAATTTCTATACTATATCACACACCTTCTCATACGCACATTCAACAGCTCTTTCGTGTGTTTCGAACACTTAAGATCATTGTGTTATACACAGCTTTCGTTTGTCTTAATTGTTCTACAATTCAAAGCTGATTGTGCTTTTAGCTGGCTACTCGAGCTGGCTACCGTAAAATCAAAGGGGTCCATTTTTTTGTTCTGCATTCGCAATCTGTGTATTATTTGTCTGTGCTATAATCGTGTTTTGAAATTAATTGTGTTTGAAAAATTATTAAAATTTATTGAAATTATTAAAATTTATTTTACTAAAGAAAGTTAATAAAAATTTAATTGTGTTTGAAAAATTATTAAAATTTATTGAAATTATTAAAATTTATTTTACTAAAGAAAGTTAATAAAAATTTAATTGTGTTTGAAAAATTATTAAAATTTATTGAAATCATTAAAATTTATTTAACTAAAGAAAGTTAATAAAAATTTAAAATCGTGTTCTGAAATAAATTTTTAAAATTTGTTGAAATTATTGAATGATCAAAAATTTATTTAACTGAAGAAAGTTAATAAAAAATTTTATAATCGAACTAAGTACAATTTTGAATAAACAAATTTTAGTTACGTATAAAACTTTATTTGTTTTATTTCTACTTTAATTCACTTTAAGCGTGCAACATGTAACTGTATGTCGAATTAAAAGGTATTGTATGTTTACGTCTGTACGTAACATGAATAACGTCGCTTTCGTCTAATAATCCCAATTGGTCAAACTTGTTTATTACTTCTATTAAACTACTTTTGTTGTCAATTAAAGAACTTTGTATCTGCAATACAATATAATAACATTGTATTTTCCACACTGTCTAAAAATTCTTGAAGCGGGTAATCATTTCCATAGAAACTTTTAATTGTTTGGAACCGCTTAATTCTTTGATCCGCGGTCAATTGAATTGGAAAAATTGCTGGGTTTGATAAATTTGTTTTATACATGCTCTGTTCCTGTACTTGTTTAATGTGCTGATCTTTTTGATAGATGACTAATGTTAGCTGCTCATTTTTTGTTTTGTAAACTTACCGACTGCGCCAATTATGTGTCTTGATAATATAAAATAAAAGATATGAGGTATGGGGATGTAAATCCTCCATCCCTTGATTCGAGATACTCCTGGATCTCGTTAATAAATATATTTGGGAAGTAATAAAAAATTATACAACTTGTGTTACTGGAGATTGTTTGTTTAGGAACAAACGATCTTCTATCATGTTTATACTTCTGATGTTTTATATTTGTTGATTATATCATCCACTAGCGATATAAGTCGCATGCATATGAGACTTATCTAAATAAAAGTATATTATATAGAGTGTGCATCAGCATATTCGCTTATAAATGTATTCTCCGACGCTAGTCGCGCGGTGTCTTATTCCCGCTGCACAATTTTTGAAACTAAGTATGGAAATGAAATGTTGTATAGTATATATGCACACTACACAATCCTCTGATTTAATCAACATTACCATCAAATCTGCTGCTGTTCAAGAAAGGATCAAGGTTTTATGGCCAAAGTTTTCTTGTGAAAATTCTTGCCAACCTCCGCATAGCTATCCGAACGGCAAAACATTCATCAAATCGTGGATGAACATTGACGTAATAAATGTAAAGAACATTTAGATAACTATTACTACCATTAAAATTTTTATTTAATCATCTTAATATTCAATGGGTTCCCCAATGTTTCTGTGTCCCCTGATATTCGCAGATATAAACGTGTTTTCCGGACGACGCATTTCGACGATATCTCGTTGTTCTCCCCTGGCAATGTGTTTAATATGATTATACGTATTAGTGTTCTTTCACCGATATTATTTATTCTTTACTATATGGTATATGTCCAAATTTTTAGTTTGTACTATTGCGGCCTATGCAGCTCCAATATGGACTCCACAACTCTGCGCGACGCAATGGAGTAGCACCCAATTTTGCCGAAACACACTTTACAGTAACTTAACAGTCACGCATAAATACATCAATTCCTAATGTATGTTCAAACTGCAACTCTACCCCCATGACGTTGCCCATCTGTTATCCTGCTTCAACACACGCAAACCTTAGTGTTATCGACCCTTACAGGAGATCACCGTCTTAATCCCGGTTGACTTCAATTTAAATCCCATCTCTCTTCAATCCACCCCATTCTCTAATAATCCCCTCTTCTCTCAAACAACCATCACCATCAGATCCTAATCCATGGACTTGTCATGTGATTGTTTTCATGTTATCTACTTTACAGATACCCGTGAGCTACAATTAGAGCAATTTCAGTACAAAAACACTACTAATTCATACTTATTTTGAATACACCCAAGGAATAAGTTTCCCTATTCTAACACTATTCCCAACAATAGAACTCCCTTTTTCTGAATGACCCTTTTTAATGGCGAATAGTACGAAAATGAGCAAAACAAAGAAAAAAATTGCGTATCATATGTTGATTTAAGTTTAAAAATCGCATTATTTGTTGCAGCATAAAATATCAGAAATGAATATAATGAATACTGTATAAGTAAATTATATTTAATTTCTTTTTTTTTAAGTATACATAATTTATTTCTTTCTTATATACAATAAAACAAAGTAATAATCTTATTTATTAATTGAAATTATTAATGTTTTAACTAAAATTTAAATTCCTTTCCAAAAGTCATATTTATTTTTAACTTGTCTCCCAAACAATTTGCTTGGCACACATTTTGTGCAAAATTGGGTAAAAATCTCCCATTCCTTTATGATTCAGAATAGCAAAATTGGGAAAAGGGAAAAACTCCCATTCCCATCTGATTCAGAATAACTACGAATATTTGCAAGCATTTATCACGTTCGGAGATTCTGCAAGTTTTTCTTTGATTTAGACAACGATGGCTGGAGTGGTAGAGGTAATGAGAATCTGCGCCTCAATTCGACGTTATTTTCAAATTTTAATTAATATTCTTTTTTTAATGGGGTACGTAACGTCCAAATATTTGAGTGACTTAAAGGTTTTGTACTGGTAGGCAAGAATGATAAAATACAAAATTACGCCATCTAAAATGCTGTAAGATGATGTAACAGTTAAAACAAAATACAAATAAACATTTATTTTACTTAAAAATTAATTTTTAAAACAATTTCTACAAGATTTGGTTAGTTCAAAAGAAATTGTAATATATATAAAATTATTACAAAATTATTTTACGCTTTAAAACATATGAATAATTTAAACAAGCAAATAATAAACGCAAATTGTTTTTAAGAATTTGCAATATATTTTATTACATGAAAGTGGAATTCATATTGGCCCTATGATGAATAATTTTAATAAATTATTTAAACAGTGAGGTGAAATAAAAAATTTCATAATAAACAAGAAATTTGGCAAAATGTTTATCACTTTGAAGGTAGGATGGTATAATCTTATATTCTATCATTCACGCTAGGGTCAAGCAATTTTAATTTAAAAAATTTGATCATTTATAATTTATTCGTGTTTCTCACATGCCAGCAGGAATAGTATTGAGTTTCCATTTATTATTTTTGGATAATAATTTTTAATAAATTGGTATTACGACCGATATTTAATTAGTTTTTTATATATACATTGTGACCGAAAGGTTTTCGGAGGTTCTCATTTAAAATTCGCGCGCTGTATATTTTTCGATATTTTAAGTTTATGAGTTTGGCAGCACTGTCCTTAATTACTATGCCAAAAATGAGCGCGATCTGTCGGACAGTTCGTTTACGGCAGCTGTTGAAACCAGTTCACCTCAGTAGTGCGTTGCGAAAAAAACAATGGAAAAAAATATTGAACAAAGAGTTTGCATCAAATTTTGTTTTTCGAACGAAATTTCGTGTGCAGAATCGTTGCGAATGCTACAAAAGGCTTATGGGGAATCAGTTTTATCGAAAACTCAAGTTTATGAGTGGTACAAAGCCTTTCAGGACTGTCGTACGACCGTCGAAGACATGCCGCGTTCTGGACGACCTTCGACCTCTACCACCGACGAAAACATTGAAAAGGCAAAGGAAATCGTGTTCAAAAATCCTCATGTGAGTGTTAGAGAGATAGCACGAGAGCTAGGCATCGGTCGTGAGATGGCTCGTTTGATTTTGGTGGACAATTTGTGTATGCGACGTGTCAACGCCCGGCTTGTTCCGATTCACCTCAATTTGTTCAACATTATCAACGATTTTAAGGCCAAACATTCAATAAATACCATCGAACAGCCACCGTATTCACCTGATCTTGCACCGTGTGACTTTTTCCTGTTTCCCAACCTCAAATTACCACTCAGAGGAACGCGTTTTGAATCCATAGAAGACGTAAAACAGAATTCGCAGAGGGAACTCAAAGCCATACCGGAAAGCGCCTATAAAAAATGTTTTGATGATTGGAAGAAACGTTGTCATTTGTGTATCGCTTCTAATGGAGCATATTTTGAAGGAGATAAAATAAATATTGATGAAGATTAAGAATTTTGCGTTTTATTACAATTTCCGGAAGCTTTTCGGTCACAATGTATACCGGGCTTAGGTCGTTTATTTAACACATAGGTTTATAAAAATGTTTTTTTAAAACAATTAAAAAATTTTTACACTTTTTTCCAACTGTGTTAAATGTTTAAATTTATTTAATTTTTATACAAAAATTATATTAATACAAATATTTCGGTCTACATCGTAGACCATCATATGTAAATAAACATATAAACATACAATCAAAACAAAAAACCAAAAATGACAAACATTGTTGTCTCTTTCAATGTTTGACATTTTTAACATTTAAATTTATTTGAACATAATAATTTTTATTAATTGTTGTTGGTATTTGCTTTGTTGGTTTTAACGTACCCAGATTCTGATATTTTATGTTCAGCAAAATGTTCACGTAATTCGGAAGCTAAGCGAAATGCTTTTGGACAAAATTCGCACTTGTATACATTCTCTCCTAAATGAGATCGAAGATGTTTAATTAAATCATTACTTTGAGTAAAAGCTCTCTCACAGTATTTGCATTTGTAGGGCTTTTCACCGGTATGGGTTCGCATATGGCGGCGCATATGGTCAGCAATGACAAATCTAAAATTAGGCTTTTAAGTATATATTTTATTTTCATATAATAAAAGGCAAACCTCATATCACAATATTCACACTTGTGCGGTTTTTCACCGTTGTGATACATCTTGTGTTTTTTTAATTGAAAGGGTTTTCCAAACGCTGCACCGCATACATCACAAATATGCGGTTTAAATTTTTTATGCACAGCGCTATGTGACGCTAAATCGCTAAGACAAGGAAATTTTTTAGGACAATCAGGGCACTCATATTTTTTTTCACCTGTGTGGCGAAGAAGATGTTGCTTCATATTGCTGGAATTACTGAATGTTTTTCCACATTCAAAACATAGAAAAGGTTGCTCCCCTGTATGTGTTCTTATATGATCTTTGAGAGTTGAAGACTGTTGAAACACTGTAAATGTATGATATGTAGGAGTATTAATCTAATTGTTTAAATATTTTTCTTACCTTTACTACAGAATTTGCAGTTATACATTACAGTTAAATCTCTCATTACAGGATGATCATTACGATTATGTTTCAATAGTGTACGTCGACTTTTAAAACTTCTTAAGCATTCTTTACACTTGTATAAAACAGAGGATTCTAACTCCAAGTGTGTCTTCAAGTGATTGCCTAATGAACTCTTTTTTAAAAACGTACTAGAGCAATACGCGCAATTATATTCAACTTTCTTGATTTTATAACTATCCTTATTAATCACATTATTAATCGTATTTTGACTGCACGCAATCTGACATGATTCTTTATTTTCAATTTCATCAACACATTCTTGATACTGATTTTTCAAACTGAAAAAACACGAAATAAAATAAAAATGTATTAAATTGTATGATTGATCTTACTGTACGCTATTGCTGTTAAAGAAGGTTGCGAAATCTTTACGTTTTATAGTTTGCAAATCCAATCTTTGAAGATTCCTAAAATGTATATATTTACCTATTAATTTTGTAAAAAATATATAAATATATTACGAATTTATAGTTTGATCCATTTTTAAACTTTCGGTTGCAACAGAAAAACTACTTTGTTCACCAATTAACACATCCACTTCCTCCAATTCGACTTTAACGGATTTTTTTAAAGCATAACTTAATTGTAACGGATCTTTGTTTATTTTTTGGACGGAATTCGCAGAAGAATAAGCTCTTGATTTCTCGAAACCATTATTTTCGATAATGCTTTGCAAGTAGATGTTGGAGGCAATACACATTTCTCTAAACTGGTGCAAACTAAGCAGCTTGTCAATACAAATTACGCAAAGTGCCTTTGGAAGTCCATCTGTTGTCCTAATTAGAAGCTCTGGTATATTTCGCAATAAAATATTCACAATTTGTAGATTTGGACAGATACTTGAACATTCATATATGGACTGTAAAGGTTTATCTGTAGCCATACAACCTCTACATATTATATTGTTTTGTATCTTCATATTCTAAAATATACTTGGTGGTTCCTTTAATATTAGGAAATTAAAATTTTTAATTCCTATCAACTGTATTTATTAGTCTCACAAAAAAATAGCAATTGAACCTGAGCCAAGATAGCAAAGCCACTGAGAGGACCACACCGGAATTGAAACACGTAATTTTTTTAAATTTATTAATTTGTCAAAATTTGCTAAATTTAAACTTTTTACCAAATAAAATATATTATTTAGATAGAAAATTCAATAATCTTTCATTTCGAATATACTTCATAATTGTATGTTACGTAATAGCAAAGATATTCAATAAATAAAACACAAACAAATTTAATAACACAAATTTTTAAAAATATTAATAAAAAACAACCAAAAGAGGGCACGACTATTGACCTGAAAAACAATAAAACACTGCTTTCAATTAAAGTAAAAATAAGAAAAATCGTGAATACAAAAATTGTTTGAAGTCGTAGTAGAGCTTAATATCAAAACTGCTTAATTATTATTCAAATCAAAAAGCTAAAAATGAAAAATCTGCAAAAATAAATCATACAACATAATTTTAAAACCTGAATAACATATTTTAATTTTATCATAAAAAAATTATAAAATAAAATTATAATCATTATAACATTGTGTGCAAAAAAGGGTCCTTTTCGAAAAGCTCAAAATCATCATGCCCACATTTTTTCAGAATTATTTTTTAAAAATTCTCCATTTTGTGCAAGCTACTTCAATTTCAAACCGAAACAGCATATCTATGGAGAACCGAATTTCTGCAATTGAGACCACACTCAATATTCTGGTAACCAAAATCGCTGAACTGTCTGCTAGATTTTCCACAAATATAAACAACGGACGCAACTCAAGATGCAGTAAGTCCAAAGTGTGTCACTTCCATATAAAATTTGGTAAAGCAACACGAAAATGCGAACCACCATTTGAATTTCGCACTGCAACACAACAGGAAAACTAATATCGCCACCGTCTGTCTCAGCAGCTGGCGGTGGCACTGGAAATCAATGCATCAAAGAACAAAGACTTCACGTTCGTGATCGCAGTACAAATCTCAACTTCCTAATTGACTCTGGATCCATAATATCAGTATTACTTATCACAGTCGTAAACTCATCATGTAATATAATTCCTTATGAATTAAAACCTTACGCAGGTAACGGTACTACAATAACATATGGTTTAAAAACCAACCGCAACTCGCTGGACCAGTAAGCCATCGCATCATAACTTCCTGCCAACCCATTGCAGAGCGCCCACGCAGATATGCTGGTGATAAATGAAAAGCAATAAGAGAAGAATTCACCACGCTTCTAAAACAAGACACCATATCTATGTGAATTTAGTGTAGTAGAAATAATTTTTCTTGGATACAATATATAAAGACATGGTATCAAACTGCGAGCGGATCGCATTGAAGTCATAAACAATTTTCCAAAACCTAATACAATAATGGAACTACGTCGCTTCCTTGGTATGGTCAATTTTTTTGGTAAATGCTTACCCAATGCCGCACAAACACAAGCTCCACTTAACGACATATATAAGAAGTCCATAAAAAATGATAAAACTAAAATTTCTTGGACTTTACCTCTATCTAACAATGCACTAAAGACATCATGATTGCTTCGCAGCAGATGTTCTTGTCATCAACGGCCCCGTTGTCTCTTATTGCAAATGCTTCAGACGTTGCAGTTAAAGCTCATCTCGATCAATTTCAAGACGGTTTATGGAAACCTGTTGCCTTCTTTTCCGCAAAACTTAACCCGACACAGAAAAAGTATAGCACATATGATTGAGAACTCTTTGCAATTTATCTTGTTTTTAAATACTTCAGACATATACTTGATGGTCGTCATTTCGTTGTAAGGACCGATCACAAGCCAATTACATTTGCATTCCGTCAAAAATTAGATAAAGTCTATCCTCGGCAGCTACGATATTTAAACTTCATCGCAGATTTTACTACATCTATAGTCTACCTTCCTGGTTCTTAAAATTATGTAGCAGATGCATTATCTCGAATCTGTGAAATCATGATGCCTATAACTATAACATTAGAGGAAACACAGATGTACCAAGAAAACTATCTAGAATTGCCTCAAGCAAAACAAAGTAATGCAATCCCATTAAAGAATGTATATTTCAAGTCCGATGTAGAAATATGGTGTGATACGTCTACAACGACAGTTCGACCATATATTAAGAAAGTATTCAATGCAGTACATTCACTTTCTCATCCAGACACAAGAGCTACATCTAAACAAATAAGAAAAAATATTTCTGGCCAAGTATTCATTTTTTATATTGTAACAAATTTAGTCTGGTAATATAAAATCGTTGTAACACGGCAACACTGCGAGTTGACAAGAAACAAAAAAAAGATGTCTGCCAGCTAGTCGAGAGAAGTTGTTTTTCGCCTACAGTCGAACGGAGTGTTTTTTATTGATTTTTAATCGTAAATAATAGTAAATTATTCAAGTGTATATGATATTTAAAAAGCTTTTAACTTTCATATTTAAAATGAGTATTATCTTTTAATTTATAAAAAACATTTATTAAATAAAGATTGTTAAGTGTTAAAGGTTAACTGGCGTAATTATTTTTGACAGTTGCTAAGCTATTGACAATCCTGCGATACGAACGGGAGTTAAGACAGAATTACCAAAGAAAGCAAATTCGTAACAATGTATAAATTTATTTTATTTGGTTAAATAAACTTTATAAAAGTAACTAGCTAACAATAATAATAATAAGCTAACAAACAATTTTAATCCGTAATTATGAATAATTTAATCAGAAAGGTTACGACCAAAGGTCACAAAGTTTTAGACGTTTAATGCGACGTGTTGGCTCTATTGACGCCAGTTCGTTAGCTTCATCATTCGGATGAGAATACAGCCGCTGCAGGTGCATTCTTGCATTTCGCTGTATTTCTTCCACCACCGTATTTATCCTTAGATCGCGATGTAGACCGGAGTTCTTTACGTACTATGGAGTATTTGCCACACTCCTTAATACAACGTTTTGAAATTTTTGTATAGTTTCAACATGCGTGCTGCTAGCGCATTCATGCTATATGTCCAAATTGGTTTCAATATTTGTTTGTAAATTATGAGGTTGTTATAAAGTGACAGTTTCGACTTCTTTCCAATAAGCCATTTTATTGATCTGTATTTTATATTAAGTTCACTTCTCTTTTTTTTACATGTTCATTCCATCTCCAGCATTGCATCATACCGAGGTACTTAACCGTATTAATATGTGGAATTTGTATTACATCAATATAGAGGGAACTAAGTCTGATATTTCGGTTTGTAAAGTTGACGTGAACACATTTATAGCGGTTAAGTTTTATTTTCCACTCATCATCATCTCCAATCGCAAGGACAGCTGATCATCCTCGAACGTTGCTGAGCTCGTTGGCAAATCATGTGTGTATATTAAACATAACAGAGGACCAAGTACACTGCTCTTGGGTACCCCAGCGTTGATTTTTTGGAGTTCACTATAATCGTTTCCATACTTAACACGGAAGTAACGATTGGATAAGTAAGAAGAAACAATATCGAAATAGTCCAACAGAAAAATGTGTCTTATTTTCTTTAGTAGACCTGTATACAAAACTTTGTCGAAAGTCTAAGAATACTATTGAATTTTCTTTTACTAAAGTGCTTGATCAATGATCAAATTATTACATTTGAATCCAAATTGATGCATAGGAATGGTCTACTGTTGTTCAAGTAAATGCAACATCCATTTGAGCATAATCTTTTCAAATTATTTTGAAAGCACAAGTAGGAGAGCTATTGGCCTGTAGAAGCTAACATCGTTTGCATCTTTTCCCGGTATAAGGATCATAATAACTTCTGAAACCTTCCACAACGAAGGGAGATATTTCAATCGTAAAACAGCATTGAAGACGTTAGTTACTTTTACTATGCACTTAGCTGGGACTTCTCTAAAAAGTTCTGCCGTTACCTCATAACTCATAACATCCTGTTTAGTTTAAGTTCGTTCTTTATTATCATCATTACTTCAAGCTCGTTAGTTTCTGATATTAGTACCCAGATTACAGGTTTCAACACTATTCTCACTACTAGAAATAGAGAATACTTTTGTCAAATGCTCAGAGCAAACTTCAGCTTTTTCTTTATCGCTATTGGCCCACTGGCTAGTGAAGGTCTTTATTGGTGCGTTATGTGAGGCTGGACGTTTTATATTTCAAGTGCATTTCTACAAATGCACGTAATCTGTGCTGCGATCATTTGTCAAATCAGACAAGAATGAGTGGAATTAATTATTTTTAAAGCGGAGGTAAGTTCTTTAGTCAACCTATTTAAATTAGCTTTATCTGCTGGGGATCTCGAGTGTTGCCACTTTTTTCTCATTTTTCGTTTTTTTTTTGTAGTAGTTCTAATATGGCTGTTGGATATCTGTGCGGACAGGTCGATTTCTTCCATATAGGAGTGCTTACCATGCGGCTTGTTGAAACTTTCTTGTAAGGTTTATAATTTCAAATTCCACATCGTCTCCACACCGCAAATTTCAGTCGAAGCCGAAATATTATTAGAAAGGAATGTTCTAAAGTAATTCCAATCAGTTAACTTTTTCACAATTTTAGTCCACAGGGGAGTGGTCAGAGTTAAGTTCAGTTCCGTCTTCGATTTTAAGATTGTATGTCGAGACATGCCTTATGATAAAGAAATCAAGGAGGTTTGGTATTTTTTCCGTATCAGTTGGCCTATACGTAGCGTTTCTAGATGACATGCATTCACAGCCAGTTTGCTGTATCGCTTTTAGAAGTTCTCCCCCCTTGGTCGTGGCACAGACAAATAATTTGTCTGTGGTTGTGGTTAGAAGAAAACCCCAATGCGTATGCTTTGCATTGAAGTCATCGCTCATGATGAAGCGGTGTTTGTGTGTTTCAATAATCTGTTTGTACTGCTCTGTTTTAATTTTATGCCTTGCCAGGCTGTAGACAGAAGTAAGTTGTAATTAACATTGCAGATCAAGCGTAATTGTTATCACCTGAAATTCTTCTCTGGACATTATTTTGGATACGAAATACTTTAAAGATTTCCGAATTAAGATTCCACTTCCTCCTCGAGCGCAATTACTGGGATGTACTACGTGATGAAACTCGTAGTTTTTAAATTTTTGGTATGAATGATGTGTGAAATGCGTTTCAGAAATAAGGCAAACATCTATTTCT